GGACTTTTTAGCATACAAATTACTCAAACTAACAACTTGCATTTTTGATTCGGAAGAATAGGATAAATCGCTTTCGAATTGGCGATATAAAACACAACGCGAGCATCGAAAGCATAATCTGCGGTAAAAAAGTAGTTATTAGTCTGCAACGAAACGATATTTTACAATCTTTGTCATTCAATCTAATCCCCGAAATAAATTATGTGAGCGAAATTTCCAGCGATAAATAGTTGTTATTAATTGCAACAGTTAATCGAGATCATTTTTTATTACATTTACATAATGTAACGACGTGCAATAAGCGACTTTCTTTACTTCCTGCCCGTTCGAGTTGCGAAGAACGACAGAGCGAATTACAACGCGAATGCCGAAATCGTACAAATTTTCTCTCTTTTCCCGAAAATAGAACAGATTACACGAAATCGATAGACAATTAAAAGCGCGGTGCGTAAACGAGATGTAACCGCGACAAAGTACCGCGGTTTACATTTATATTTTAGATGAGTTAGTTTCGTGAAATGACTACGTATACGTTGATAAAGAGCCGTCGCCTCAACATGCAATTCGTTTCTCATTACAAGTTGTAGAAACTTAATAATCACTCAAGGAACGTTACTTGTTACTGATAAAGGTGTGCAAATCGATAGCGTTTTATCCCTACATTCGTCACGATCGAGTGTCTTGGAAACCACAAGTCTTGGAAACCGATAACGCAAAAAGTAATAACACGCGCGGAGCGACTCTCGCCACTGCTTGCCGGCTCGACGTTCGGCGAGCGAGTGATAGCGCAGCGACCTCCAGGTAAACAATGGCCCGCGTAACGTCGTACGATACCGCGCCGAGAAAAAAACAATGACGAACGTTGAGAGTTCGTTGCCCCGCCTACGAAATTGAAAATTCCGTACTTAATATTTTACATTACTTTGTTCCGTGACTGTTACTACGTTTTGTGTATTATTCTGCGGATTTATTGGTATTGATTAAATGAACGATTAATTCTGTTCAATCGAAAAAATGTTTGGAATATCGCTGTTACTTAAATGCTAATTACTAAGATTAGAGATTTTACCACAATAGTTGGTGTATACAAATGTATATTTCTAAATTGCAAATCTTCATTCACTACGAATCTAAAAGAGAAGTGAAGCACACCGCGCTTTAAGAAAACCAGTCGGCATCGCGGAAAAGAAGCCTTAACCATTCTCATATTTAAGAATAGTCTTAAATATTTCTTAAAATATTTCGTAGCCAGTAAAATGATCTATATAGCATCCATACGGATTATTTTTTGGCTAAATAGTCTTTGAACATATATTTAAGACAAAGTTAAATATAAAAATTGACTATAAACTAATCTTAGTGCGCACTGAGTGCACACTAAGGCTCGTTTACAGTCAATTTTTATATTAAAGAATCGTCTTAAATATTTCTTAAAATATTTCGCAGCCAGTAAAATCTATATAGCATCCATACGGATCATTTTTTGACTAAATACTCTTTGAACATGTATTCAAGACAAAGTTAAATGTAAAAATTGACTATAAATTGACCTTAGTGCGCACTCAGTGCAAGCTATCGAATTCGCTAGAAGAGTATACGCCAATCAGATTCACGAATTTTATAATATTATAGTTGCAAAGCAGCTTTTCTTGCTGAATGCAGCCACTGACACCGTCAAATCGGTGAAATTGACGATCGAGTCATTTCTCGCTGGGGATCTCGTCGCCCTCGCCTAATATTACATTTGTCGTACGACAAATTTTTTAAGCCTGTTAATTGGCTGCTGAATACAAAATTTCTAGATATACTCGCGAATTTTATTATCTTCCCGCCATTCGAGACACTTAAAAAATTTGTTGGACGACAAACGTAATATCAGCCTTCGACACGTGAAAAGCACGCGTATTTTCGCGTTGCTCGAAAATTAGTTTAAGAACCGTGTGACGCACCAAATTTGAAAAGAATTACAGGTCGGTCATACATATTTCACGTATAACGTTCGCACAGAAATTTATTTCTAATATTTCACGAAATTTGTTCTGTCAGAAGAGTAAAGTTTTAGAGTTAGTTCGCATTGCAGACCCTCGTCCAATCGAATCAGGATTTAAACTGACCGCAAATGGAAACTTGATGTTACACGCGCAATTTGTACGTGTAAACGTTAGAAAGATTATTATTTCCTGGCAAACGATCGATATATTATAATTCTTCGTTATCGTTGTTGGTCTATTTTCTTGTGCGCGCACTTATGGTTCAATCAGATTCCTGACGCACATATTAGAGATCCTGTAATTGGAGACTGGCCATAAGAGAGTTCGTTAAATTTCTGCGAGTGTACGGTTCCACGATCGTAGAAAAATGAGATAGCCTATGTTTCTCTCTCACTCGCAGGAGTTTGACGAACTCTCGTATGGTCAGTCTCTGATTACAGTCTCTCTAGCATACGTTTATGCGCTATGCGAGTTTGTCTGGGTAGACAATAATTCTATATTCAATAGACTATAATTCTACGATCGTTCCGACGGAATTTTTGAAAGGGCTCTATCAAAATAATCTTGTGATTGGCGATTTGATTCCGCTTCCGCGTATTCCGCTTCCGCGTATTCCGCTCCATCCCAAGTGGAACAAGTTAATCACAAAAATGTCAATGCGACATTAAAATGATGAATTTTATGTCATAAAATTATCGACATCAAGATTTACTTTGCAACGACTGATTTATGATATGCTGTTTTATGATATTCGTGATGTGTATAGTAATATATTATTACAGACATGATCAGTCATATATTCTGTTTATCTTATATTACTTTAATTAATTTTTAATGTATAACATTTAATTAGCTTTGCTTTATAAAACAAGATCATTTTTACAAGATTTTGATGTCTTAATGATGTCACAAATAGGTGCTCTCGGTGGGCTATTTTGACATCACCGCACAGAGAAAAAGGTTTCTTTGGATTTAGTATTCCTATTTATTTGATTGAAATTTGTTTCACTGAAACATCGTATGCTTGTATGAAACATTATTTGTTTGAATACAAATTTTGTTGTTTCGTTCAAACAATCTCTATTATTTGATGGAAAAGACAATATTATTTGAAGTAATATCTTTAAATTAAATAATTATATTATTTGGCCAGGCGATTATAAAGTCTGGTGCCGCCACTAGATGGCCGCCGAACTCGTAAGTAAAATCACGGCTGCCAGACATATAAACGACCGCATCAGTAGACGCAGTTTAATCATCTAATGGTCTATCCTTTATGCGGTAGTAGGACAGAGACACAGATGTAGAAATCACGGTTTCTCTACTTACGTTGTATATATATTTAAACGCAATAATAAACTTCTTTGAATAAAAGAAAAAATTATTTAAATGAAACATTAATCTTTTTTCAGAAAAAAAATATATTGTTTTAATGAAATAACAATATCTTTAGGTCAAATAAATCCTATCCATTTATTAAACGAATATTTTAGTTGAAGTAAAGCTATTTATTATTTGAAAGGTCAAATAATCATATTTGATTGAAACAACAATTGGTTTGTTTCGACTATTCCAAAAGATAAATTTCTTTGAATCTAATAAAATTTATTAAATTCAAAGAAACCGTTCTCTCTGTGCGTGATGCATAAAAAATGATAAAAAAATTATGTCATCTTGATGTTTTCACGACCAATATGTTCCACTTGGGATGGGACGTCGTCCTGAGCACTCGGAATTTTTAGTAATTTACTAGATTGCAAGCGAAGAGGAAGAAAGAGCATCGTATACCGCTGACTTAACTGTCGCCGCGCGAAAGATTCACTCCTGAGGCTAATAGCGGAGGAGGATTCGTAAACGCCGAGATTTGCCTAGTCGCAGGCGCAAGGCAAGGCAGAGGAAAACGCGAACCGTATGCAATACAGCCTTTCACGACTTTGCGTAGAAAGACGGACGTGCTAAGCGGTTTACGGATCGTCCTCTGCCGTCAACCTGACGCAAAGTGTCCGTTTGCATTGGCCTAGTTTACACCGGTTGTTTCATACGCGTATCAAATAGTAAACAAGTAAATGGATTTAGTCGCTGGCTGATCGGCTGAAATACCCTATTTGATACGCGCATCAAACGATCGATGTAAACCGAGGGCATTGCGGTGTACAGATTTGCGACATTACTAGGCATTTTTGGGCATTAGTTTCCCAGTGAGAAATGATTCGTGGATCGACGTCGAAACGACGTCGAATCGACATCGACACCGTCGAATTGACGTCGATTCGACATCATTTCGACGTCGATCGACGAATCATTTCTCACTGGGTTGGGCATTAGGCCTTGCTGGAGCATTATAAAGATAAAATGAGATAAAGTAATGCCCACTGGCCGTTAGTGGGCATTGGTGTACAAGATTTTGGTCAGCCGTTTCCCCCCCTCGGTGTAAACTACAACTATTGAGTGGCGAGATATCAACGGTCGCGTCGCAACTGCCCCCGGCACTCACCTTTCGATCTGCCGCCGCTGGAGTATTCACGGGCCCCTCGTCCGTCGCGTCGTGGGACGATCCTCCGTCGTGTCCTGGCACAGGAGAGGCGCGAAAAGTTCGGGGCGAAAAGACCGCGAACGTAGCGAACGCGAGACTCGCCGCGCGCCGCCCGCCGCGGCGCGGCGCGGCGCGCGCTACGCCGCGAGTCGCCGGCTCCGTTTGAAAACCGTGGCGGAGCCGGCCGGGCCGGCGTCGGGCGGCTCCGGCGGCGCTCGATAACGTTCGGCTGCCGGCGCTGCGGCTCGCTGCCGCACGGGGTTCACGGGAGTCGAAGCACGGAGCCCCGCCCTGCCTGCCGCCCGCCAGAGCCGTGAAGGAGCAGCAGCAGCAGCAGCAGCTCCGCTTGCCCTCGAGTTCGAGTCGAGTTTCCGTGTGTCGTCGAATGAAAACAATCGCCGACGTCCGGCCGTCGTCCGCGGATCTCGAGACGTTCAGGTTGCGCGTCCGGCAATCGCGTGCTCCGGCTCGGCTCCACGCTGTCGCGGTAGCGCGTAGCGGTTACGGCAGCCGTCGGCCGTCGTCGTCGTCGTCGTCGTCGCCGTCGTCGTCGTCGTTCTCGTCATCGTCGTAGTCGTCGTGGTCGCGGTGTACCTGTCGTCGCGACGGTTAACCTTAAAGAGAACGACGGGTGCCAGTGGTGGTGTTTGCCCTTCGAGGAAGTACGGCGAGTAAACTCGAGTAACGTCGATGCTCGAGGCGGAGAGAAGGTGTGACGAGGAAAGTGCGTAGTCATCGATGTGAGAGCCGAGAACGACGAGGAAGAACCAGAGGGAGCGGGTGCGAAAGGGGAGAGAGAGAGAGAGAGAGAGAGAGAGAGGGACGAGGGCCAGCAATTCCGGCGACCGCTGCTCCGTCAGGGAGCTCCAGGTATGTAATATTGTCGCGGTTCAGTGTCCCGGGGCTCCTCGCGACTTCCGGATGCGCGCCGTCCCCTCCGGCCGGCCCTTTCGCGCGACTCGATAACCGCCGAGAGCCATCATGGCGGCCGCCTAGGCCTACCGCTCTCTGTCAAAATCTCTCGCCGTTCGCCGTTATTTCGATCGCGCGCCGCCCCGCCGGTCCTCTCCCGGCGGGTCCCGGCGACGACGCGACGCCGATCCCCGTCGATTCTCTCCGCCCGGACGGAGACGGCCCGGTTTATCCTCCCGCGTCTCCGTGCGGCTCTCGCCCGTCAACGCCGATCCTTCGATCTCGCCGCGCGTTTCCTCGCCAAGCGCCTGGCATTCGCGATCCCGACTCCGGGGGAGTCGCGTCGCTCGCGCGAAACCGTCGCGCCGGCCGCCGCGTCCGGAAATAGATCGAGCGTCGCGATTACGTGGGGTCTGGACGTATTATCGATGGGATCATTGATTGGAGCGGACTTCCGCGCGAGATCACGAGCCGGAGGCCTCTCGCGGTCGCGCGTCTTTCGGACGATTTCTTTTTTAGTGAAAGAAAGAGCATTCCGACCGCGGTGAGTCAGAGAGTCGGCGATAACGAGACTCCTCCTGCGTGCCCGGAGACTTTCCCCGCCGTGGGATATTTGTGAGAGCACTCGCGATACGTCAATGAAAGCTGTCGCCTCGTTCGCTCCTACTCACTTTCCTGCGAAACCGTTCCAATTTTCTCCACTCGGACGCGACCGCAGGCTCCGACTGCACTGCAATCGTTAACAAAATCGAGCTGGTCTACCTCGAGTACCTACACCGAGAAAAAGCACCTAATCAAGAATTAAAACGACCTAGACTGGCAAATCTGTATGGTGACAATAAACGAACAAAAAGAACCTATATCTCGACTCAACCGCGCGTGGCGACCAGGTCTAATCTACAATGTGCTCTTTTTGTCATTAGACGCGCTCTATTTTATATAAGCAAGTCAATACAACTAACGTACGATATGTCAACTTGCGCAAATTTTTCAAACGATCGGCTTCCAATACGAGACAGCGGGTTTTCAACGTCCAAATTCAATCACAAGTCTTTTTTCGCGACGATTACACGATCTAACAATCAATTTTCCACTCCGAGGGCCAATAAATTCATGGTGGAACCGACAGATGACGTCTATTAAGTAATTTAGCAGAAACTCCGTTATCTCGTATCAGGAGGCTCGCAATGGGGGACTTTCCTCTATACAGTTTGCTAAAGTGAAGGATAAATTTTGAGAGAAAATTCTCTTGGTGCACTTTTTTTAAGGTCCGAGCGAAAGAGACCTTTCACTATCAACCGTCGTTATGTTATCTCGTATTAGGGGCCCGTCTCATATTAAGGGACTTTCCTCTACTTATGTTCCATTTAAAAAGAAATGTTTGAACTGAGAAGCCGAGCGCCAATTAAACGTACTCGGTCGTATCGGCAATTTCTTTTCTCCGTGCACCTATTCGTAAACAGACAGGCAGAAGTGCTCGGACATTCCTGTAATTATGCAATACGTTATAGAAATGTCCAGGCATTCCTGCGAGCCTTTTCAAAGAAATCGCGGTGCTCTGAATTTTTGCATCGGGGGGAAAAATGCAAGAAAAACACGTGATGCACGAATGCTAAGAAGGTGGCTCGCCTTGATGATTCGTGAAATTACACGGCCGTAATTTTCGACGCTCTCGTCTTCGGGAATGTTTGCGCGTCACGTCGTCTCGTCGGCACACCGGTTCTGGCTTCGGCAAAGCGACGCCTGTGACGTTTGTCTGACGTCTCGGGTTATCTCGCGGCGCACAATGCGCATAACGCGAGTCGCTTTTACATAATCTGTAATATTTTCGCGGAAACCAAGTTCGTTCGATCTCGGCGCGACTCGCTTAGATTTTCGCCGCGTTAAGCCCGATCCGCAAAGCCCGTGCTCTTCGTGTCCAGAAACATTCGGCTTGTGGCCAATAAATAGGTTGAAAAATTTGTGCAGATTGATAAATTGTACGTTGAATGTTGTACATTGTTGACAAATGTTTTCAGCGTTTTGATTTGTTTGTATCAAATAAAATGTTTCTGGAGAGCTGAAAATCCAATCTACAATGTGCTCTTTGCGTCTAGAAAAATTTATATAAGCAAGTCAAAATCGCTGAGGGTACTGTGCTGTACAGATTTGGGGCATTACTAGGCATTTCTGGCCATTAGTGGGTGTTATTTGGCCTTGCTGGGGCATTACAAAGAATGTAAAAAGATGAAACAAGATAAAAGAAGATATTAAGCTAAAGTAATGCCCAGTGGGCGTTAGTAGGCATTGTTGTGTGTACATGATCTTGGTCAGCGGTTTACTCCTCGGTCAAAACCGAGGGGGAAACCGCTGAGGGCATTGTGGTGTATAGATTTGCGGCATTACTGGGCATTGCTAGGCATTTTTGGGGCATTAGGCCTTACTGGGGCATTATAAAGATAAAATAAGATAATAAGATAAAGAAATGCCTACTGGGCATTAGTGGGCATTGGTGTACATGATTTTGGTCAGCGGTTTACTCCTCGGTCTAAACGCTTAAAAAATTTGTCGATAACGTACGATTGTACAGTATATAATGTACGGTTAATCAACTTGCACAAATTGTTTAAACGTATTTATTGGCTACAAAATAGAATGTTTCTAGATGCAAGGAGCACATTGTAATCAGGCCTAAGAGGCGTGAAGACCGACAGGAAAACCGCCCGTATTCTTTTCCGTGGGAAACGAGAAAGGAAAACGCGCCTCTCGTCGTCGACGAAACTCTGCGGTGAAATTGGCGGCGCTGTTCGATTTAATCTTGGCGGAACTAAGCTCGATGTGATAATCGAGGAAAACGATCGTTGATTACAAAATCGTGGCGTTTTCTTCGTTAAGACAATTGATTGAACGACGCGGCAAATCGCGTTACTCATCTGTTGAAAATAGAACCACTGAATTTAGTGCAAATGTCAGGAGCCAGTTTATAGAAATCGTAAATGGAAGTGATAAAAGACGGTTGAATAACGTGACTAATTGGGTGTTTCTTGCTCCCGCTTTAACTGGTAGCTTCCACCGGACCTTTTCCGCGAGACATTCATTCCAAGAACGGAAAGCGTGATGCAAGTCTCTGAATTTTCTTACATAACAAATGACAAGCGATTATATTCGATTTCTGTTAGCGTTAAATGCGTACTCGCTCGACTCGTAGGGCGACAGATATTTTTTATCGCACGAGCGACTTTAGCCTCAGCTCAGAAAAGTGGTACATTTAAATCCCGCATTTTTCTATCGCTTTAACAAATCTTGAAACATCGCAACGTCGTTTTATGAGCACAGGAACTCTGACGTCCGCCGGATTTCCCGAAAGCATTCCATCGCGCAATAATTTGCCCCGTCGAACGGATCTGCTTTTTCCTCCTTTTACCTTTCACCGTATTTATTACCGTAACTTTTATCGCGAATTTTATCGGGAATCGTCTCACTTACGATCGTCTTACCCGTTGGTTTTCATCAACACTGTGTAACTTTGATCTTAGTTTATATATAATATAAACGATCTTTTGTTTCTTTCTAAGGGGACAATTAGAAAGAGACAAAGGATGCATTTAACTGAGATCGAAGTTAAGCTAATGTTACATTTGTCGTGCGACAAATTTTTCAAGTGTGTTGACTGGCTGCAGAATAGAAAATGTTTGGAGACTCGAGAGCTTTTTTATTCTGCAGCCAATCAACACGCTTAAAAATTTCGCCGTACGTTGGTTTTCATCAACATTGTGTAATTTTGATCTTAGTTCATATATAAACGATCTTTTGTTTCTTTTTAAGGGGACAATTAGAAAGAGACAAAGGATGAATTTAACTGAGATCGAAGTTAAGATAATATTACATTTGTCGTGCGACAAATTTTTCAAGCGTGTTGACTGGACAGACAATGTCTGGAGACTCGAGAGCTTTTCTATTCTGCAGCTAATCAACTTTTGCCTTACGACACGTAATATATCAGCCTTAAACGATGTTGGTAAAAACGGGGATTAGTCATACAGGGGAGACGATGACCTGCAGCGAAGGAAGGCATAGCCCGCGATCCTCGGTTCTTACGCGAGTGATCTTTGGCATTTCTCGGACAATAAACTTTAAACGACAGGTCGCGGTGTTAACGATCACAATGAGTCGAGACTGGGAAAAGCGACGATTTGATAATAGACGAGCGAGCGTTGTCGTCCCCGTTACAGGTGTCGCGTTGAGATCGCCGAGACCTTAAGTTGTTAAAAATTAACCGATCACAGTCGAATACGAGGAGAATAATTGACTGTGATTGGTCATTTTCCTATGGTTTCAGGCTTACTACACTCATTGTAGACTCGGCCTTAGTTTAACGCGACAGAAGAGGAGCAGAGTCCAGCCCGAGGGATAAACCGCTGATGAAAATCATGTACACCAATGTCTACTAATACCCAGCGGGCTTTACTTTATCTTATTGTCTTGCTTTATCTTTATAATGCCTCAGCAAGGCCTAATGCCCAGTAATGCCATAAATCTATACACCACAGTGCTATATCAGCGGTTTACCCCTCGGTCTGGCCAGTTCTGGCAAAATTCTCCTTCTCTTTCTTTTTATTTAGTTTTTCTTTCTTTCGGGAGCGGCCGGAAAAAGAAGGACCAATCAGAAGTTGCCATCTGTTGGCCAGACTCTGATTCGAGCGACTCTAATACGGTCCTTATGCGATTAGTATTGACAATATTTTAGCTCAGTTTTGTAACCTAATCTAAATATATCCTCTCACAATCAGTATTACATGAATGGTTGGATTAATTTCTTAGTGGCACTTAAAACGCTTGTGTTTAAGTAACTGCCAAACAACGAATGAGCATCAGAATGACTTGTGACCATAGAGTATTCATCCTTAAGACGGAAACTTTATGACCACATTAGAGACCCTATAATCAAAGACTGCCCATAAGAGTTCGTCAAATTCCGA